GGCTACAGCCTCGGAAGCGACCTCACCGGCGGCGGAACAGACACGCGAACCACCGGCGGCCAGCTCGGGCCAGCGGCCACTAACTGCACATCGGGGACATGTGTCGGTGTGGTGAATGGCCCGTGGCTTGAGGATATGCGGCTGTTTCTGGCGAGGGGTGATCCTAAATTCAAATTTGACAAGCTCACACGGGCCGAGTTTGACAGCTTGATTCATTCAGGCGTCCAGCGGTTATCGTCCTTGCTCAGCACCGGCGATGCCGATCTCTCCGAGTTTCGTGATGCAGGGGGCAAGCTGGTCACTTTCCATGGTCTTGTAAGTAAATCTCGTCGTTATCCCATTGCAGGAGCGCCACATACCTATTATGGCCAGAGCCTGACAAACTCAGTGGGACACCAGCCTCCCCCCAAAGGGGACCGCGCAGTACTACAACGCTGTGGCAGCGGCAGTACCCGATGCACACACCTTTTACCGCCACTACGAGGTACCCGGACTGGGCCACTGCTTTGGCGGACCTAGTGGCCAGCCGAGCGGGCTGTTCGCACAGCTGCGTGCCTGGGTCGAGAACGGCACGGCGCCCGAGTCTACCCCCGTCAACGTGACGAAGCTGGATGGAGCGGTGGAAGGTCGAATCTTGTGCCCGTATCCGCAAAAGGCGAAACCCAATGGCGGAGCAGACCTTTCTAGGAACAAGACAGCGGCCGGCTCAAAGGGGCGCTGGATCTGTGTATAAATCTGGCATCCGTAGTTTAGTCAGTCCGCCTGCTCGTCTTTGTCTAACATATACGGACCGAGGCTGCGTCGGCGGGTAAATTGTATTCGTGTACCGCCTCAAACCCCAGACCCAGTTGTTGATGAAAGCACTTCGTTCGGCCATGCCAGCCATTCCGCCCAGTACGAGCCGAGATGCTCGGTAATCGAGCGAATGAGAAACTCTCCTGTACTGCCGACAGCCCAGTAGTTCCTTGCATGATGCAGCAGGACGGCGTAGTAGGCCAGGATCACCAACGCCTCGGGCTGCCGCTGTTTCAGCAGGGATATGTATTCAGTGGGCACGCGGACTGGCCAGTCCTGGATCGGAATCTCGCTCTGCTGCACCCGGGCTACGTCGAATCTGGACTGCAATGCCTTGACGGCTCCCCTGTAGACCTCGTAGCTGCTTTTGTGGTTATTCTCCCCGAGGATGGCGGGATGGCAAGCCGCTCTAGAGTCGAGCAACGTTATGAGCCCTGCACACTCGGTTCCCCCCTCTGGTGCGTCGGCGGGATCTTGCGGCCCCAGAGGAAAGGGCTCGACCGGAATACCGCCATTCATGGCAGTGAGACGGGCTTGGATGTGAGTCTGGAGCGACTGCCACGACTCGCTTGCAATGACGCGGATGCCGCGGTGCAGGCTGAGACACTGCACGAAGTTGTCGAGGAGGGTGGATAGATCGCGATGGCTGCCGGTTATACGGTCTGGAAGCGGCGAGAACGTGTTGAAGAGCATGTGATGCCCTAACATGGCAGAGTAAAAGAAGATGGCCACACAGTTGTCGTCTGATAGCTCGGCCTGCGCAGCGTTGAAGTGGGCGAGCCCGCGCGTCTGGAGGCGCGTAGCTTCGGTGCGGTAGAAGGTTGCGTTGTGTATATCGGGAGAGGTGGATGATGACAAGCAGCTCTTGTGGGCAGCTGCGAGGGCGAGGAGCTCGTCCATGAGGTATGGCTTGGAAAAGGCCTCGCTCACAGCAAGCTGCATCATCCTCCCGGCGTTTGGCTGACTCGATGTGATGATAACGGATAGTTCGCTCTGAAAATGGTGCAGCAGTTCGAGGTGTAGCAGGCTGTAGCATTCGTCGCCGCTTTGAGGACGGGGGGACGGAGGTGGGCGTGAAGAGAGCAAATAATTTTGAGCCGATGGAGCCGTTGGAGCCCCTGGAGCAGCCGGTTCTGAGGTCGGTGAAAGAGATGGCTCCGGCATTGGCGACGGTGCTTGGGCGGGCGAGTCGGCGGCCTCGGAATGGTTTGAGACGTGGTAGGCCGACGACGGCGGGCCCGACGGCGTCGGGGACGGCAGTGTCGCGGCGGCGTCGAGAAAAGGGCATCGGCGGCCAGAGGTCGAGCAGCCGGAACACGATGGCCGCGCTTCGTCACACTTGATCCGGCGCTTTTTGCACTCATGGCAGCCATATCGAGACTTTTTATGGACCCGGCGCATCATATCGTGAGATGTACTTCCGTAGCCCGGTAGAAATTGCGCCTGAGAATCGCCTGGGAATTGTTGGAGGGACGATGACGGGCCAGAGTGGCAGTGAGTAGTGAAGGAGGTCGAAGCTAACAGAGGCGAATGCCCTGACTCGTATGCGTCTTTGGCGGGGTTTGAGAACCTGGCAACCATCCATCCATGGCACAATGGCAGGGGTGGCTAGGCGGGGATTGCCGCGTAATGACGCGTAACCCTCGGTTTCATGCAACCATCGCGAGGGTTAGTGATGCAGGGGCTCGGTTCATTAGCGGTTCTGTTGATATCCCGATCAACAAATGGACAAATATCATACCCAAGGACTATAATGCAACCCCTGAGGAAGCAGGTGAAATTTTGTCTTAACACAACTTATTTCATAGGTTTAAAACTTGAAACGGTCTTTCTGACTTAAAGGTTAATCCTATAGGCCAAGGAAATTGTCCTCATCTACTATGTACTAGACCGTGGGCTAGACTAATCTAATTACATAGGAAAAAAAGCAGTGATGGCTATAAGCCATTCCACTTTGGTGATAGATCTAACTGTGGAGGTCCCCCCTTGAGCACACGAAATGAAACACAAAGGAAATAGAAAAGTCTAACACCCGCGCCATCTCCATCATTCTCTCCAAGTTCGAGCTTTGTACGGAGTAACAGGACAAAAATTTCGAAATCAACCCCTATGCAGCCCCCTTGTGCATCCTCTCCCTCTCAGCCACCTCAGCTCCTCCTCTCGATATCGTATTAAGATCGCTCAGAGACGTCACCTCGCCCCAACTCGCCGGCTTCGCTATTGCTGACGGGAACCACCACCAAAACACGGCCATAACGGTCAGCATGGGCAGTGCGTCAAAGACGTATAGCGGCCACTCAGTGCTGAGCAGGTATCCGTCCTGGCCCATGGAAAACTCAATGACGCGGAAGACCGAGCGGCCCATGACCAGGCCGCTGACGACGTAGAGAACCCTCAGTGTCTGCCTCCAGTGCACAACCCCCCCGCGGGCGGTGATGTCGGGGGCACGCTCAGTGGCCATGACGACAGGGTCGCGGCGCATCCTGAGGTGGAAGACAAACGCGGCCGCGCAAAACAGCCCAAAGATGAGCACCTGCAGCGCCAGGCCGCCGATGATGATATTCTGGCCGGTTTTTGCTTGTGAGCCGCCCGTCACCATCAGTCCCGCCGCGCCGCCCTGGACCATCAGTGACAACACGTCGCCCGATACGAAGAGCTTTGTCAGCCACGCGGGCCGGATCAGCGAGTGCCTTTCTCCGCCAGAGCTGCGGATCGCGCGACCGAGCGTCATGTAGATGGCGGCGGCGAACAGCACGGGCGCTAGGAGAATCATGGTGTTCTGGATTGCGTACGGCATCAGTTTGGCCGTCTTCTCGCGCGCCGTCGCTCGGGTCCCGTAGCCGATGACGCTCACTATTTTTGGCAGCCATGTGGTTAGCAATAATAGTCGTAAGCTGATCCATGGCAGCGAAAGGTGGGAGGATTGGGGTATGCCAAGCGACGTACTGAGGCCACCGACGGGGAATGGGATGCAGAACCAGCTGCGCGTCCTCCAGATGCGCCAGCAGTATGCCCCCGTTAAAACCGCAAAGAGGGCGGTAGCCACACCAGCTGCCTCAGATGAGGGCAGGTACTTCCAGAGATAATACCCGCCCTTGTAGGGCTCGAGGACGGTCATGGCGAGAGAGTGTTGTGACGCGAACGAGATTTCTGGCAAAATATTGGAGATAGAGGAGCTCAGAACGTCTTGCGCAATATTGCAGAAAAGAGACCCCAGAATCTTGTTTGACGGCGCTTCGGATTGGTGAGATGAAGGCCTGGGAGAGGTCGAAAAGGGTGCTCGGGAAGGCAATCCTTTATAAACACCTCGGAGTCGACTGGATACATTGCCAGCTGGGAAGGGAATCCACAGCGAAAACATATTAGAGCTTAAACACCACAGCCCTCTATACCTAGTAGTAGTTGTCGCGTCCCAAACACGCAAGTCCCGTAACCCGTATTCCACTTGAGGGCCAGAACCGTACTCTGAGCGATGCGATTGGCTGGTACGGGCAAGTGAATGGGACTTGGGCGGTTAGCCAATCGGATTGCGCTAGATACGGCAGCCCTCGTCCTGCACGAATTGAAGCTTGCTGGCAAGGGTTTCCCGGTGACGTCACAGCACACGTTTTTGAACCCTCGATTTTCATCTGCTTCCTTCCTGAGGTGTTTGACCATCTTGACCGACTACATAGCTGGCTTCGCTAGTATTTTGATTGAGCGGATCGCTCCAGCTCCACTCCTGATGGTAGGGTTGTTAGATTTCGGAAAAATCATACCTTTTCATGAAATTTCACTTTTCATGAAATTCATGAAAGAGTCGACAAAAATATAAACCCCCCACCCCCCGGCCCGCCCGGCCAGGGTAGGTAAATTAAACACAACAGTCCATAGGAGCTTTTTATTACGTTTTTGAGCTTTTTGGCTCTATGTTCGATTTTCCTACGTTGGCTGACTTGGTTGATTGACAGCTAAAAAACTAACTCTGATTGGCCAGATTGAGGGAAAGGTGGGGGCATGACGCACGGACTGAGAAAAACCATTGAAGTTTTCATGAAATTTCCGCAACCTTTCCGAAATTGCAAACTTTGCACGAAAGATTCAAACAACCCTACCTGATGGGGTACAGTTAGTGATTTGGCGGTCACAGGAGACGGCGGCGATCTCAGTGTCCTGGTCAGTGCTCCTACTGGTGTCCGCAATCATCACACGACGAGAAATGAAATAGGCGTGTGGCTCAGTTGGCAGAGCGTTCGCTTAGCATGCCATAGTATATGCGAACGGTCCTGGGTTCGATTCCCAGCCCGTCCACAGCGTCTTATTTTTGATGAGTGTTTCAGTCTGAACACGAATCAGCCTCAATTTAGCCCATTATGAGCATTTTGGGCAGCGCGTAGAGCCGTTTAACCAATCTATATACTACCCAAATGCTCAATGTATCGGTCTTCTTTTTACACATTGGGGAGGAGAGCAACTACATATCTACTTAAAAATATATCAGGGTCAGCATCTAACAGCCAGGAACTAATATACACTCCCCTTTGCCCTATAGTTAGACCTATATATAACGATTAGGTCGAGACCGGAAATTTAATCGTTATGCGGAAATTATCGCTAAAGATCATTACCTAAATGGGGAATTAGTGGGGCGGGAGGCAGATTAAAGTGGGACTGCCGGATTAGGACTAGCGTCTCTCTTCAAACGAGACTAAATATCGTTATGCGAAGGGAATGCCATACAAAATTTGACCTACTTTTCTCTACACATGTAAAAGCCCCCCTTTCGCCCCGCTTTTCTTAATCATTATGGTCCAGACCGTTATGTACAGGTCTGACTGTAGTTTAGTTCTCCGCAAATCCCAGACAAGGTTCGTCGCCGAAATAGGGAAGAGTCTGATGGTGTAACGACATGTAAATGGGCTGACTCTCTGAATAGCGAAAACCGCGAATCGAGTCAGGTGTAACCCCAGATGGGCAAATCGAAGGGGTTGGATCGGCACACCACCAAACAGCGGCCTTGCGGCTAGGGGCCGCGAATCCACTTTCAATAACCGCCGCCAGCCTGATATTCTGCACGTGGAATGCGAGGCTCCGGCCTGTCGGCGATGTCTGTCAGAGAACGGGATCCAGCTCATTTATACGTGAACCGACAAGATCGACAACCGCGATTCCCGGATAGGGCGACATTCGAGCAGGGCGTGTCTCGGGTAAAGGCTCAGCCCCCCAAGGCTGCGGACTGTCATCTGATTCGGCAATTTTCCGACGCGGTGCATGTGGCGGAGTTGGTCGTGTTTGCGCTTGGGGTATTCTGAGGGCTCCCATAGGCTCTGGGGACGTACACGGAATTGCGCATCCCTCGCTGGCGCACTCCGAGGCCGCCTCGTATCCCCATTTGTCGCTCCTTACTGGGTCCAGAACGGCTCGACCCAGGGGGCGAGTGGCCTGCCGGCCCAGCCCGCCCAGCCCTCCCCTCATCTTATGCACTGCCCGCTCTGCGTCGTAACCCTAACTCGCCCGACCTGTCTTCCTTTCCTTTTCCCGTGACCCCAAATTGCACACCTGCCACAAGAATCCTCGATGTCCCCACACGCTGTCGGCCTGGGCCTGACACGACCAGACGCAAAATATGTCGACCATCAATCCGAACATTGCGAACGGAACGTGCTATTATGCCGAGAACACCGTCACAAAGGGGGACTTTATTCCCTGTGGGAACGAGCTAATACAGACCTGGCCATGCTGCAAGGCGGGAAGCTACTGCCTGTCGCAGGGCGATGCGAACGCGTGCTGGGATGCAAAGTGTAAGTTCCAACACTCCACCATCATGGGTCGCAAAGTCCAACACAGTCCTTCACAGCCGGAAATACGTACGTCGCCGGTTGCACCGACCCCTCGTTCGTCTCGCCCAACTGCCTTCACAAGCCGCCCCCGTTCCACGAGCAAGAATGGGTCGCCATCAACCAAGCCTGCAAGAACCTCAACGCCAACAGCCAGGCTGATGGCGTCACCAATTGGACCGGCTGCATCGTCGACAACAACTCGACAGATCTCGTCAAGCTCCCCCTGGCCGCCTGCACTCCGTATTGCGAGTCGACCAACGTCCTGTACGCAGGCTCCTCGTCCCTTCCCGCATACGCATCGCTTCCGACCTTGTCAGGGAGTTCCATCTTCTGGCAGAATAACTTTGTCCCACCGACGGCGCCTGTAGCCGGCTACACTCCCGGCACGACCACCGGCATCGTGGGGACCGGTGTCTCCAACAAACCAGGGCCCAGCAGCTCAGATTCCTCGACGGCCGCAGGCAGCTCAGAGCTCTCAACGGCCGCCAAAGCCGGCATCGGCGTCGGCGCTGCCATAGGCGGCATCATTCTCATCGCCTTGCTCGCGATTCTCATCCTCTGGTGCCGAAAACACCGAAAACGGAAACAGCCACCTGGCCTCCCACCAGCAGGACGTCCCTACAACCAACCCTACCCCCCCGAGGACTTAAGCAGCTACCCCCCGAGCCCACCGACGCATACCTATTCCGACACGTACCAGTACCAGAGCATCCCAGGGCAGCCACCCATCGCCGAGTTCGGCACACCGAGCACACCCGCAGTAGCATACACTGGCTATAAAACCGAACTACCGGCCGACGAGCGGAAAATGCGCCCTAACGCGGGACAGGAGTACATTGAGATGGATAACGGGGATAGCAATCCCGTTCCGGCGCAATATTTACAGCCACAGCCATCGCCACGGGGCCTTGGACAGGACCAGTTATCACCGCATCGGCCGGGGAGTCCTCCGCTCAGTGAAACGAGTACCATGCTCCATTCTGGGCAGCATTCATATACGAGCCCGAGTCTGCAGGGGAGTCCTCCGTCGGCATACGGACAACCCGCCGGATATGGACAACAACCGGCGGCAGGACAACCATCGGTGAGACTAGGGCCGGGGGTCTACCACATCAGGAGTACGAGCAGTCCGAGTCAGAGTTTCAGCAGTCGAGTTGCTGCCGGTGAAGGATTGTCGCCGGGCGTCTATCATAGTAGGAGTGTGAGTAGCAGCGGGGCTTCACCGGGGACGGGGTATGCCGAGACCGAGGAGGGGTGGGAGGCTGGAAGGCATCAATGAACTGTTAACTGCGATGCACGAGATGTAGATGGGATGCGGAGGTGTAACAAAAGGAAGGAGAGCAAGGGTAATTTGATGTCTTGATGGAAATGGATAGTGCCTGGAGACTTTTGCGAAGAATACCACTTGTGAATGGACAATTGTTAGGTCAAAGTGCATACATACATTGTCATGGCATTGGAGCATAAAAATTTCGGCCACAGGGCTCATGTTTCCACATACAGGCCAAACAAGTCATGTTCCATGCCCATCCGAGGACCTTCCACCATCAGCAACTGGGGTTTGACTAGTTCACAACCCTATCTCCGCCTCGGTAGCCCCAGGCCGCTTCCCCATCACCGTAGGCCCTCACAAGCTTCCATATTGCCATATCAACTCTCTTAAACGTCTTCTCCATTTCCTTTATCTCGTCAGACGTGCCAAACAAACCCTCTATCTTGGTGGCATTCAGCTCAAACGCCTAGTCGTCAAACTCGTGCAGCGCCAGCCATTTCTGCCCGCCATCGGTTGTCGAACCGGCTCGACCGTCGCCAACCCACCATAGTTGAGACCTCGGTGAGGTAAACCTCGCGATACCACTTATTGAAGTTGGTCGTCCTCACACCCGCGGGGTCAATGGTCTCAGTCACCAGGAGCGGGCCTCGCTCTATTGCTACAAGTGTCAATATTAAGAAAATGCGGCATAAAATGGAGAGTTCGGGGAGTGAGATAAGAAAAACCACCACCACCGGCGCTCCCACCCCTCCAAGTCTCGACATGCGGGCCCGCCATGGCCGTGATATTGGCAAACTTGGTGATTCGTCCACCCTCAGGCAACGAAGGATGATTGAGCGTGACGTTCATAAACTCGGGTGAGTTCAATGCCGAGATGTCGGGGTATTTGTAAGCGACAAGAAACGGGAGGTCGTGGTCCACGTCAAGCGATTGGTATCTCCAGGCCGACGTGATGGCACTGGCCTTGGCACCCATCTAGTCGGGGATATGGACGTTCTCGTACCATCGCACAAAGCTGCTGTAGGGGAAGCTGTCTTTGTATGCGGGAAACACGCCCGAGTTAGCCAAGAAGATGCCTGGTCCTGTGCCTACGGACAAGGCCGTTTGAGCTACCAGTGAGTACGTCGCCAGCTGGGACTTTACAACAAAAGAGGTAGTTCGTTTTCCGAACCAGGTCCTCATGGACCTGAGCTTGCCTTTTCTAACATCTTGAATACCCTTCGGGTATTTGCCTGCCGCAAGGTTGTTTGGTAAATAACCGACAGCCTCAGTTCTTCCCTGGAGGAGTATGCACACTCCTTATATCATTCGCCGGCACATATAAAGTTGACTTTACCCAATCGGGAGGAGCCGTGCGGACAAGACAGATGGTGATTCTGAGAGCGGCGGATGAACCAAAGAAACTGGAGGTGGTCCGCAATGAAGAGCTGTGCTGAGCGGCCATGTCGGCGAAGATATGTCCGTTGCAATTAGAGCTCCCTACGGTGCACTTGCTTAAGCCGAACAGCGTTGCGTCTCCGTCGAGGAAACGCTTGCAACAGCGCTAATCGACCTTTTGTGATTCGCCACCCTTCCTGCTCTAGCTCGTTTGTCTCGCGTTTTCTCGATCTCGACTTCGGCTAGGTACCACTTGCTCGTTCGATGTGCACTCCGATGCCGTCCCTGTCGCGACCATAGCGCGCTTCCCTCCCGCCACTGGAACTACCAAAAAAGCCAAGAGCGTCGCTCTGAAGGCGATGAAGCGTGTTTACCGGCCTCGGGTAGGTAGGCAGGCTGGAGCCGCCATTGGCGGGGTCCGACAAGCGGCGCAATCATGGCCCCGGGAGGGGATGATGATTTTTGTGGTGTTGGGGATTCAGCTTGGGGCTGTACATGGGCGAAGACGCCCTGAACGCTCCATAAAAAAATCTAGGTAGATAGGCAGGAAAAATAGACTCTTCATTACGTCTAACTCAGCATAGTCTTATATGTTTCTTCACAAGACCCAGGCTTCCAATCCTCGCATCCGTTGGACTATAGATCTCGAATCGACCCGGATGCGAACACAGGGTACAATCCACCCGCTCGTACGTTCCACTACCACCCACCTCTCTTACAAGAAGCAGGACCATTTCGGTTGTGGCTGAAGCGTGCCTATAGCATTGGTTTTCAACTTCTTCCGAGAAATGTTTTTCCACCCCGAGAATGACGCCCCACAA